CACTGGCACAGTACTTGTTTAGTATTTCCAAGGCTCAGAATTCTCTCCCTGGCAGCACCAAAGAAATTAATCTGTGCTTCACTGTAGGGCTTTTATTCTGCCACGTACGTTGTGGCCTAAAGAAAAATTGAGGATTCTTCCCCAGGGTGTAGAACTAACTCCTGATTTCTCATCTCTTGTTAGTTCAATCAGATCTAATGGGTACAGCTGTCTTATTTAATTGAGATATAAGTAGAAAATTCTAAAATAGTGCAAAGCAATGCAGCTTTTTAAAGCAGGAAGTGGTGATTTGTGTCAGGGTTAATTTCTACCACAGATGGACTTAGCTTGCCACTTCCTGTTCATAGAGTAGAAGACCTGAAGAACCATGAAAGGTTCCACTGCATTTGTTAGTATGTCAGGAGTCCTTTTTTCTTGTTTTTTTGAGACAGGTTTCTCTGTAGGTTTGGAGCCTGTCCTGGAACTAGCTCTTGTAGACCAGGCTGGTCTCGAACTCAGAGATCCACCTGCCTCCCAAGTGCTGGGATTAAAGGCGTGTGCCACCACTGTCCAGCTGTCAGGAGTCTTGTAAATGGTAAGTCATGTTTATGAGCCCTTGCTAGTTCTCTTTGCATTGACTTAACTGAGCTAACAAATATGCATAGCTTTCAGTGGCTATCTAAAGTCTCATCTAAATGTTTGCCTCCTAAATATTAGACTAAAATTTTCAAGCTGGAAAGCGCTGACTATATGGTGACAATAGATTTAAAACTAACAGAATGTTTATTTATAAAAGAATAATGTCTTAACCCTCCCTTTTAAAATCTAAGTAGCATTCTTAATTATAATTCTACTTTTATACATTTTCTCCAAGTTTTTTTTCTTTGTAAAAAATATTTAAAGTAAGTCTGTGCCTCATTTTTTCCAATTTCACTAGATAGAGATTTTAAATAATCACCTAGAAGCCAGCTCAAATTTCATTATTCTCTGTGTTCAGAAGTACACACAAGCCTAGGCAAAATGTGGCTGGCAGAGAGTTTCAAAACTGGCCTGAGCAGCCTGTGCTGCGTCTGAATTGCTAATAGTAAAAATCTTTGTGGCCCTACCACTTAGGAGGCTAGCTTGGAAGATCCTGAGCTTGAGACCAGCCTAGGCTAAATAGCAAGGCTCTTGACTCATAAACCAAAAACAGGGGGGCTGGAGAGATGGTTCCTCAGTAAAGAGCACTTGCTGCTATTCCAGAGAACCTGTATTTGATTCCCAGCACTCATATGATAGCTCACAACCACCTGGAACTACAATTTCAGGGGATCTGACTGACCTCTGAGGGTACCACTTTATGTAAAATAAAAAAATCTTTGTAATTAAGAGAGTATATATAGGTTTCTCTGAAGTAGATTTCACTATTTGGGAAGCTCTCCACTGAAATAGCTCAGAAATGTAAATCTACCAACCATATAACACACATGCAGACAACTTGGGGTTCCAGCTGTTTTCAGTTGTGCTTTTAAACAGAAATAAATCTTTTTCTTTTCACTTGTAAAAACATGATGTTAAATTTCTGCCTCTTAAAGTGCATCAAAGGGAATGGACAATCGATGTAGAAAAATGTTCAGTGCTTTGAGTAAACGTAGTCTTGGAATTGTGCTTTGCTATCATTTATTGAAAGGCTGAGTGATCCAGATAATGTACCTTCCTACCATGGTTCTAGTGCCTGCAGCCAAAAGATCAGAACCTAAGACAAAGCCTAATGTAACAACAGCAAGCCCCTAAACTTCAGTAGGACAGGTAGGGAAAATCCAGTTGAAGACCTCTCGGTTTTTAATGATTTTAATTTTAATGATTCAGGCAGCAGGCCTCTTCTGCACCCTCGCCCCCCTGATAAGAGTTCCAGGAGTCTCCAGAACAGAGACGTTGAATGTAGTTATGAACTGTAGCACCCACAGCACAGAGTACATCAAGTCACAGCTCATGCTGAAGGTCAGGAGGGCTGGCCTGCTGCCCCGCACCCCGCACAGAGAGTTCCCAAGGCCAGCCTAAAAGCAGTCTTTCCCACACTCAGCCAGTGGTATCCTTTCGCCCCGCCACTAACCCAGGGCAGCCTCTCCTTTCTTGGGGGAGGTGCTTAGTATATTCACATCTGCCAACTAGTTCAACTTCAGCCTGAAATAGTTGGGAGTAGTCTGTCTGCTCCTTCTCCGCGTTAAACTCTTTCTAAATTGCAGGATGAAAGGTGGCCCATTCTGTGAAGTCTGTCTACTATGGGTGGGGCTGTGCTCCATGTTTCCTCCTCAGTCTTGGTGAAACTCATCTTTCCAGCTGCCTCCAGCTGCCTCACTGGTTTCTGAGAATTGTATTATAAGCAGAACTGTGAATGGGCACACACTCGACATCACACCTCTCTAGTTCCTTGAAGCCCCGAGTCCTTGGGTATCCCATAAAATGCTTTCTTCTCAGAGATGTTAGCAGAGCCCTAGTATCTTACCCCATGGGGGAAGGAATGGGGGTCTTCTTCCTTCTCTTATTGAATGGAAAATCAGGACTCCTTTATCTGATCCAGTCTCCCACACACACACAGAATACCTACCCAACATGGTAATATTATAGGGCTCACAGGCCCTCTATATTGAACAAGGCTGGAAGGCTAGTCTGCGGCTAGATCTTTGTAAGTCCCTTTCATTATTAAAACTTGGATGGCTTTCCTATGTATTGTGAATGGATGTCTGCCTTCTTTTTTGTTTTCCAAGCAACCAATATTTGCTTTACATTTTTATTTTTTACCTTTTATTTTATGTATATGTATTTGGGGGCTCAGAGGTCAATGTCAGGTGTTTTCCTCTGTGACTTCTAACATTATTTTTTCGAGACAGATGTCTCCACAAACCTGGAGCTTGTTTTGATTAGACTGGTTGGCCTGTGAGGGCCACGCCCACCCTGGAGTATCACTACCCTACAGTGCTGGGGTTGTGGATACAGAGTGCCACACACGATGTTTTGTTTTAGTATTTTTAGCATGGGCTCAAGGTCCTCATGCTTGATCACCCCACTGAGGCATCATCCAACCATAATATTTGTTTTCAAAAAGCATTTTTGTTTGTAACTGCCTGTAACTGCAGTTCCAGGAGATCTGACTTCCTCTTCTAGCCTCTGAAGATACCCACACACATATGCACACACGTCCACACACATGTGCTCATACTTTTACAGGCAACACACATGTATACACATGTAAAAGAAGTTTTAAAGTCTTACGTGTATATGAAAATACTGCTCTACCGCCATCCATATATACCCAGAAAGGTTGGGATGTTGGGGATCTCCAGCTAGGGGCAGTCCATGCTCTGGTCTCACTCCTCCCATTCCAAATACTGTCTCTGAGAAAGCCTGCCAAAAATCAGCCCCCTTCCCTGGGGCTGCTCAAGACCATGCCTACAGGCTATATAAGACCTGGTAGCCACGTGATTACTACCCTGCCTTCCCAAGGGTCACCCAGGCGTTGCTTTGATCTGTTCATTTAACCTGGATTTATCAGTTAGGTTTGATTTGGCTTATTTCATCTATGGCAGAGGAACCCAGCAACTGGGGATCCAGTACCTATCATTGCTAATATAAAACACTCATATCCACGTACCCATTGCTTGATTTTAAAAGTAATGAAATTATAGTGCTGGAAAGATGGCTCAACAGTTAAGAGCACATACTGCTCTGCTCATTTAGAGTATCTGAAGTCAATTCCCAGCACCCATATCATGTGGTTCACACACGGTCTAACCTCAGCTCAGGGGACTCCAACATCTCTGGCCTTCATAAGAACCTGCCCTCATGTGCGCACCCACACATGTGCATACACACAATTTAAAAATAAATCTTTTTAAAAATTAGTTAATATAGAATCAATCCCCCATGTGACTTCTCAATTTAATCCTCCCTTAATTTCTTTCCAGAAATAATAATTATTTTACTATTTATTATTTTATTTAATTTGTTACCAACTATTTTCATGCATGTTTTAAGCTTTTTAAAAAATTTTATTTTATGTGTATGGTATTTTGCCAGCACAAATATCTGTGCGTCTCTTGTGTACAATGTCTATAGGGCCAGAAGAGGGAGTTGGATTTCCCTGAGTCTAATGTTATAGACAGTTGTTAGCTGTGGTATGAATGCTGGGAATTGAACCCCCGGTCCTCTGGAAAAGCAGCTGTTGCTCTTGACTGCTGAACCATCTCTCCAGCCCCGTGTTTTATGCTTTAATTATCAATTGATGTAAGTGTAATTGTACTACTTTACAGATGGATGTCTGTGCTGATGAAACAGACTTTATTTTTAGCAGTTTTAAATATTTCCAGTAATAATTTGACTATATTTCTGCAACTTGTTTTTTTCCCAGTTAATGCTATGTTTTGTTAGATTCCGCCGTGTTGATAGATGTGGCATTGTTAATGCCTCAGAGCATTCGCTCTTCGAATACCAAGAGTGTATTCTTGGTATTCCTCTCCTGGTGGTGGACATCGCGGTGTTGCCAGTATTTTCCCATGACCTTTAAAGAACAGGCATCACAACAAGACCTGGACATTCTTGTTCATGTCTCTTGAGGCAGTCGTGATCTTAAAATAACAAAATTTAATTTTTTATTTGCAAATAGGATTTTTTTATTCATATTATCTTGTTTTCCTCCATCCTTAGATGACAGCATGTTTGTAATGTGAGAAGACCATAGTTTATTGGTATAGTGTATCAGCTAACCTTATGTGAACATCAGTGAGGTGGCTCAGTGGGAAATGTCTATGGTGTGCAAGGCTGGCAACCTAACCTTGATCACCAGGTAAAGATAGGCAAAAATAGATCTCACAAAGTTGTCTTCCAGTCTCCACATATCTGTTATGGCCTGAAAAACCCATGGTCACATTATACACACACAATAGAAATTTTTTTAAAATAAATCTCATTACCATTACATTACCTGGCATCTCTAATAATTCCCTTACAAGGCAGTACTTTAAGATGAAGTGCCAAGTGGATAAAAAAATATGGACCGCTTCACAAATTTGCATGGGATCCTTGTGCAGGGGCCATGCTAATCTCTGTGTTGTTCCAGGTTTAGTATATGTGCTGCCGAAATGAGCACACAAATTTTTAATTCATCATTTGTATTGGGTTTTATGACTAATTAAATTCCTCCATCTATCTGGATCTATTTTCTTAGCCATAAAAGCAAACCTGTGCTATTAATCTCCTAGGTTCTTCCCAGACATGTGATTCTTGGTCCTATCCCCTCTTCTGCCTCCTTATAGTGGATAACATGATCAATTATAAGCAGCCATTTAGCATAAGAATCAATTCAGAAAAACCTGTCAAAATGAAAATGGCCTGAATCCCTTGGGAATATTTTCTTACAGTATGTTTCCTGTGTTATTTGAATAGATAAATTTTAATGGGAAGTGTAAGTCTGTTTTAAAACCATGGGAAAAATCCCATTGGGTTTACTCAACTCTGGCCTCCCGAGGTAGATGTTGGTTTAGGTTTCCAGCTGAGTGGGCCACACTCACATAGTCTGTGTTCGTGGAGTGGTCATGAGTCAGGCTGACAGAGAGCTGTTGTTTTGAACACAAATTATTGTATTATTTGCTGCCAAAAACTGATGCTCTTTAAAGTCTATTGAATCAGGAAATAGTGCTTCAGAAAGCTGTGTTTCTAGAGATGCAGTTGTTCTCTTCGATTTTATTCTTTTAAATTTTTATATTTTATCCGTGTGTGAAGGTGTTTTGCCTGGATGTGTGTTCACGCACCTCACAGAGGCCTGCACTGTGGTCATTGGTGCTGGCTTTGTGACAGTTCCTCCTGCGTTCAGCTTCTAGTCATTTGGGGAATGGGGACAAGCCAGGAGGGCCGGAGGACTGTCCTGGGGAACAGGGACGAGCCAGGAGGGCCGGAGGACTGACCTGGCTGGAACCATCAGAGTTTAGCAGAGGATGTGTCAGATTCCTGGATTGCTCACCATCTTGCCTTTTTATTTTCTGGTTGGTGATTAAATACTAAGTGAAGTTACCGTCGGAAAACTACAACAGTTAATCAGTAAATGGAGGAATGTTCGTGACAGGGAATGGTGACACAGGTTATGGTTTGCCCATTTCACGTGGATGCAAATATGAAATTTCATTAATGAAATATATTTGGATATTGCAAAAATATATGATTCATACCAAACAAGCTTTCCAGTCTTTGAGTTAAGATGGGCCTTAACCTAAATCTTGGATGAATTTAGATTAGTTCAATCTTGGTAAGTCCCAAGGCACTGATTACTGCACATATTTGGCCTTAGACCACCAGAATATGATGTTCCTATGACAAGCCCTTAAAAAATGAGACACCAGGGACTGGGGAGGGAGCTTAGATGGAAAGTTCCAAGCACAAAGACCTGAGTTCAATCCTATGGGGGGTTTTTGTTTGTTTTGTTGTTGTTGGTTTTTTTTTTTTTTTTTTAAGTTGTGTGTTGAAATCCCAATGCTCAGAAACTTCGGATCTCCCTGGCCAACTAGCCTCACTTTCATCACAAGTTCCAGTCAAGTAAGAGAGTAAGAGACCTGGTCTAAAAAAAAAACAAAAATGAAAACAAGAAAGAAAGAAAGAAAGAAAGAAAGAAAGAAAGAAAGAAAGAAAGAAAGAAAGAAAGAAAGAAAAGAAAAGAAAAAGCAAGGTGGCGAGGAGAGTATGGTGAGATGGGTAAAGCCTGTCACCCTGAGTTCAGCCTCTGTACTCTCTCGATGGACAGAGACTAGATCCCCACAAGCTGTTTTCAGGCCCCCACGCAACACGCCCTATCTCCGATAAATAGACACATGGAATGTATTCCTTCCTAGTTTTTTTTGTTTTGGTTTTTTGATAATTGAGGATACAGCAGTCCAGAATAGTTAAGCCTCCTGTCTAGGTCTTTCACTTCCCAGTTCAGTTCTTATCAGTACTATTAATACCCTCCATTTTTAGTGAAAAGTTCTGATTGCCTTTCCAATAGCTAATTCACTATAATACGCTGCAGCTGAACCAATGCCAAATACCGTGATTCACAAGGAAGTTGTTCTCTGACCTCCACGCTCAGCTGTAGTGCACACTAGAGCTCTTTCTCACACATATGCTAATAATAAGGGAAGAAAGAAAACCACTCTTTAAACAAATTACATTTAATGACATTTTATGAGCCCAGAATGATTCATGAATCAGGTAGGTTCAATGATACTCTAGGGCTGGTCTGCTACATGGCGGGATAACAGTTACAGAAAAGGGACATGAGGTACAGAGATAGCTCATTTGTGGTGATATTTTATTTGTATTTAATAAATAAAGCTGGCCTGCAGATCAGAATGCAACACTAAGCCCCTAGAGACCAGGGAGTGGTGGTACACACCTTTAATCCCAGGATTTGGGAGATTGAGACTGTGACTGAGGCACAGGGGATCTCTGAGTTCAAGGCCACCCTAGGCTACACAATAGCAGTCCTCCAGGTGGTGGTGGCTCACACCTTTAATCCCAGTGTTTGGGAGTCACACCTTTAATCCCAGCTCTAGGGAGGTGGAGACAGGATAAATCTGGCTGGGCAGAGAGAGGAATATAAAGGGGAAGAAACAGGAACTGACTGGTGTGTGGACTCTGAAGATTTATGGAGACAGGATCTCACCCTATCGGTCTGATAGGTAGATTTGGTAGAGGTAAAAGGTCTCTCTAGTGGTTGACTGCTTTGCTTTTCTGATCTTCAGTCTAGCTTTATTTATTAAAATACAAATAAAATATCACTACACCTGTTGACTAAGCCTTGACATTTGCCTTATTTTGAGCCTGGTTTCACTAAAGCTTGGCTGATGGGATTAACTGAGGCCATTATTCCTTATAAAGCAAATCGAGTTATCTTAGTACTGAGTTGAGTTGTGTTTCCCCCCATCTATTAGAGCATCTGAGAATGAAGCCAAATTTGGTTTGAGTTAATGTGGCAAAAACCACACTTCACAAATCCACTGCCTTCCCATTTGGAAGCATACAGCTTAGTGATGGGTACTGTTTTCCTGACTGTGAGGTCCACTGCAGAACTTCTTACCTTCTAGTTCCCTTTGCCCCTCTTGCTGGCTTTATTTCTCTGATCTGGAAAGGCATGAGTATTGTTTTTTAAATGTTAATTTCTGGGCTGGAGAGGTGCCTCACAGTTAGGTGTAATTACTGTTCCAGAAGACCTAAGCTGTTATTTTTGTTTTGTTTTGAGACATGGCTCTGGAACGCACTCTGTAGACCAGGCAGGCTTCAAACTCACAGAGATCCACCTGCTTCTGCCTTCTGAATGCTGGAATGAAAGGTGTCTGCCACCAGGTTCAAGTCCCTATATCCATATAAGGTGACTCATAACCACCTGTAACTCCAGCTCCAGGGAATCAGCACCTCTGACCTCTGCACACACATGCAACCACACATAAACACATAATTAAAAATAGTTAAAAACATTTTAATGTTAATTTCAAGAATAATTTATTGAATGCCTACTGAGTGTTAGGCATTGTTCTTTAGTGGGGGCCAAAAAAGGAAAGGGTAGGTTTTGGTTTTAGTTTATTTTATACTCGAGGTTTGTGTGTATCTGTGGTGGGGGAGGGGTGCACTGGGCACACACCTGCCATTCCCATGTGTGGAGGTCAAAGAACAACTGAAAAGAATTAGTTCTCTCTTTCTACTTGAGATTCAACACTGAACTCAGGTTGAAAAGTGCTGTTGCCCATTAGCCCCCTTGCCTGTGCAAAAGAGGATTTCTACAGGGTCATTGTGACACTGGATTTGGGGATATTTTAAAAAATCGCATCACAATAAAAACTAGTGTCTCCATCTGAAACAAGTGAGGGTGGACATAGGTGCTGTGGGATGCTAGCACTGGAGTCATGCTTCTGTTACCAGCTACTCCTGCAGTACTAACTACTGTAGAAGAAAGGGGAGCCGTGCCACCCGGGAACACTGGGATCAGATTGTATTTGCTCAGTCCAGGGCCATTAGTGAGAGAAAAGAATGATTAAGAGGCTAGTTTGATAGCTCAGTTGGGGTGGCATTTTTGTCTGTTTCTACATCCAGAAGCTACAAAGGCTCCCCCATGGAAAAGTACCACACAGAGAAGAGGGTGAAATCCTGTTGGCTTATGCATATGCATTACTGAGAGCTGGAACTGGGAAGCAGTCTTTTTGGGTGCTTTCCACCTCCCTGTGAAGAAGTATTATACATGGCTGTGTAATACCCCTGCACACTCCAAATGGCTGCAGTTACTGTTCAAGCCCATTTATAGGACACACAGTTTATATGTGTTGTTGAAAACTACTGGAGACTGAGTTCAGTGTTTTAAAAGGTGAAACAATGGGGGGAAACAACTAAATACAGCCGAGAGGCCAGATGAGGGGGTTTAGCAAATTGCTGCCCAGCTATATTCATCTCTGATCCCCACAGAAGCCCTTATTCCTGAGGTTGGGAGAGTGCTTGCTTACCTAGCTTGTAGAAAGGCCTAAGTTCCCCAGCACTGCATAAGCAAGCCGGGGTGGTGGAGTGGTGTGCAAGTGTGCAGTTCCACCACTTGGAAGGTAGAGAAGCAGCAAGATCAATTCAGGGTCATCCTCAGCTACCTAGTGATTTGAGGCCAGCCCGAGCTAATGAGACCCTATATCTCAAAAAAAAAGTCCTGATAAATGTTAAAGCATGCTGGTAAGACAAGGGTTTTGTACTTCTTTGTAGTAGAAGTCCTAAGGAAGTTTCAAGTTTTGAGCTGTCATGATTTGGGGATAGGTGAGGAGATGGTGAACATTTGAGGTGCCAGAGTCCCAAAGGCCTTTCCTGTGCCACCCTTCAGGCCTGTAAAGCTTAGGCCTCAGGTTCACATTACACTGGGAGCTTTGAGAATTGCTTGTGACAGACTCAATGGGTGTCAGCAGTTTGGGAGGAGGCAGGCCTTGTCAAGTGAGCTCTTTGTTGTTCTCTCTGTCGTCGTTGTTCTCTCTGGAATTCTGAAGTGTGGCCAGGGCTGAAAACCAGGGTGGCAGTTTCAGGGTGGCAGTAATCCGTTAGGACATTTGTTAAGATGTATATGAAATCCCTCCTAATTATATGAAATAGAATAAGCTTTCCCTCCCTTGCCATGAAATAGGCAGAATCTCATTTTTTCTTAAGTTTGCAGGTTCTGACTAAGCAAGTGAAGAGAGGGAAAGAAAATTGTTTTAAAGAGGCTCCATGGCCTTCTGTAGGGAAAGGTTGGGGCATGTGGACCGAAAGCATTGTGTACATATATTTCGGGAAGGAGAAAATATGTTCTCAGCCCTTCTGAGTTATGTAACTTTCAGGATGTAGTCCATTTGTGCCCAGATCATGAGGCCTGTAATCGTGCATTTCACATGTGTGGGAACGCTCTGCAGAGGGATCAGCATTCCTTTCTCCAGCCTGCATTCAGAGGAAGCATGCCACTCACACCCTCTGTGCGCTCACATTTTCCAGTGCGTTGGAGAGCTTTTTTTTCTTCAATAGAAATCTTTGTTCCCTCCCTAATAAGACTTGGATTGAATCTGAGGAACTTAGCATATCCTTCTTTGTTTTCTGGCAGGGATTGATTTTAAAATCAGAACGATAGAACTCGATGGAAAGAAAATTAAGCTTCAGATATGGTAAGTAAAAAAATGAAGACACATGGCATTTCTATTTGAATGGGGTTAAAATGTGATTGAGGGTATTAGAGACATGGTGCAATCCTTCAGACTGTTCTTTTCTAAAAACCAAGGGGAATAAGCGCTGCACATCCCTGTGTGGCAGGGTGGGGAGGTGAGGAGCAGAACTGATCCAGAAGAGGTCCAGAGCCCATCCTTCCAAATCTCTACGAGAAGAAACAAATTCTCAAAAACATAAAATAGTTCTTCATTGGAGTTGCCACTGTGACTTAGATGCAGCAAAATGGCTAAGTGTCACAGACCATGGACTTCTTCTAGCCACAATATTTTAAATTAAGGACTTCTTTCCATCACTAAGATAGAATACTTGCTGGACAGTGGTGGTGCACACCTTTAATCCCAGCACTCAAGAGGCAGTGGCAGGTGAATCTCTGATTCAAGGCCAGCCTGGTCTACAAAGTGAGTCCCAGGACAGCCAGGGCTACACAGAGAAACTCTGTCTTGAAAAAAGAGAGAGAGAGAGAGAGAGAGAGAGAGAGAGAGAGAGAGAGAGAGAGAGAGAGAGAGAGAGAGAGAGAGAACAGTGGTTAAGAGAGTTTATAAAGAAAAAAATGGTTTGCTTTGGTCCAGTTAGTCTTGGCTTTGGTAGAACCATTGGTTTGGATCTCTGATGAGGTGCTGGGTAGCAAATGTCAGGGAATGAATGCGTGGCAGAGCACACTTTGTAGGCTAGGAAGGAAGGGCCCAGGATCCTACAGTTCACTTGAAGAACGTGCTTCCTGTAACATAAGGACTTCCCACTAAGCCCAGTCAAGATTCAACCACCTCCCAGTACCACCACCCCAAAGACTAAGCCTTGAAGATGTGGCCATTGGGGGAAGCTTCTCCAAACCATTGTGTCTTCCCAGGCTCTGCTTTTTCTCACCTGTAAATGAGTTACACTGATAAAGAGTAGAGGTCTTCAGTAGCCCTGGTATTTTATAATTTATTAAGTAGAGCCTATTTAACTGAAAAAGCAAGGAAGAAAACAAATAATGCCTTGCCTTGATTCAGGCTACTGTGGATTTAAAAAACAAATTAAAAATTTGAGATGTTTATGTTTAGTCTTTGGGAACTTGGAGAATGATGTTAGACTCCAGGTTCCTGTGTAGTTAACTGCAGGCTCTGCTCTGGAGGAGCCATGCTGAGCAGAATGTACACAGTTGTAAGTCCGGTTCAGCAGTTTGCTTTGTACAGAAATCACAATGCAGTCAAGAAAGCAAAATGCCTTAATCATGTAGCACTTAGAGAAAGGACTGCCGCTGCCTCCAGGAGCCCAAGAGTTTAGAGCTATTCTCTGTTTCCTCCCACATGCCAGTTCCTAGCGAACCTATGTATTTGGTTTCCTGATGCTGCTTTTACCATCAAGTCCTGGTTCTCATCCAAGTCATTGTGAGATCTGACAGACTCCTGTGACCACCACTGCCTCTGGCTCTCAAAGCACAGTGTGCTGTCTGTGTCTCAGGCTCCTTTTCCCAGCCACATTGCACTGGGAGCAGATCAGGATTCTATCTCCTGTAACTTGGAGTCCTCACCTGTGTTGCTGGTAACTTTTTAAATCACTCTTTCCTTTTTTTGTTTCAAATTTTAGGGACACAGCGGGCCAGGAAAGATTCCGAACAATTACAACAGCATACTATAGAGGAGCCATGGTGAGTGGCTTTTGGGATTTTTATGGCATCAGGCGAAAATAAAATAGGTGTATTCATCGCCTATATATAGTTATGAAGCTAGAGTCTAGAACTGCCTTCTTCAGCAAGGCAAGCCTGGTCCTGGAAACCTGACTGGAGCAAACAGGGAATGAGGACAGGATAGACAGACAGACAGACAGACAGACAAGCTGGGCTTGGGTGGCTGTGCTTGCTTTGATGAAGCAGCACATGCACACACTGTATCAGCGTTGGCAGTGTGCACAAGAGGAAGAAGGAGGAGTGTGGCTAATGTCATCTGGGGGCAGTTTAGGCACTGGACATCCGGGAGGAGGAAACGGCAGTCTTCGTAGATGCTTCCTGTACACTGTCAACATTCACACATAGACCAGAGGAAGGCTTTCATAATTCCTATGAGTCCAGGGTATTGTGTCCTTGTCAATAATATACATTCCGTCGGGACTCCATTTGATCCTCACAAATTCAGTAAGGGCTTCCTCTCCTCCCTATATAGTAAAGTGAAAAAAAAAATAAACTTTTAAATGTGAAATCAGGAGATTTTAAGGGTTTTGAAAATTGTATTTGATTTTTAGTAGTTATATTTTTCTATTAGTGTTAATAATAAGTAATCAAGCCATTAACTCTTAGATGTTCTAGAACTGCTCTACATTCTGCTGAGGTATTTTTATATTTTTGTTCTTTTTTCCTTTAATACTTGATGGCAGTCTTAGCAAACCACAAACCCTGTGACTAAGTGTTCCTTTCTTGGTCTCTTTTATCCCTCAGTCCTATAGCCATATCACTCTGTATCTCTCTCCACCTCTACAACCTGGCCTTGATTATGGCTTCTTGCCTGGCTAGGAAGTGGCTGGATGATTCATAACTCTAGAGGACCTTGGCTGCCAGGACATTCTGGGCTACTCCTGACCATGTCCTTATTATCATAGTTCCATCACTTGGTTGTTTCTGCCCTCACATTCTTCTCTACTCAATGCATTTAGTGTCTGTTGATTCTGGGCAGGTCCTGTGTGGTGTGGGGAACACAGTGGTGGGTGAGCACCTTGGAATCAGAAGTGTATGGCTGTGCTTGGGATGTCAGGCCCAGAATAGAGCTTCATCCCTAGCTTTTAGGCCTGAGTCTAGGGATGTGGCTCATTGGTAGAACATGCGGTTAATGTGCCTGATGTTAACTCTCTAGTACCAAAAACCAAATAAATTAAGGAGGTATAAGCCAAGCCCAAGTTTGAGCCTTAAATTTTGATGATATGTTCAGTCTTTGAAAGATACAACATTAAGCTCATGGCGCCCACCTGATAGGTTGTAAGGTACAGCTACTGAGACTCCTGGGAATAACAAAAGGTAACAGAGCTGAAGGGGTGATGGCTGTCCTTTGCTTCCAGGAAGATATGACCTGGATCCATAGGTCCTTCCACTACAGTACTGTCACCTTTTCCTCCCCTATTTCCCTTTGTCTACCATTTTTTGAGTCTTAGTAACTCATCTCTACCACAAGAATGACGATTCCTGTTAACACATTAGCATACCACTAGCCATTTACTGTGTTCTTCACACTTGGCCCTGTGATACTGTCTTAGTTAGGGTTTCTATTGTTACGATAAAATACTGTGATCAAAATCAACTGGGAAGAAAGGATTTATTTCTTCTTATAACTAGTAGTCCTATCATCCTCAAGGCAGGAACCTAAGTGCAGGAACTGATGCCGAGGCCATGGAGAAGTACTAGCTACTGGCTTGTTTCTTATGGCATGCTCACTTTGCTGTCTTAGGACTCAGGACTCTCAAGTGGGTTGAACCTTCTTGCATCAGCCATCAATAAGAAAATGCTCCACCAGCCGATCTTACGGAAACATTTTCTCAGTTGAGATTCCCTTATCTCAGATGACTCTAGTATGTATTAAGTTGAAAAAAAAAAACTAGCCAGAGCAGATACCTTTAAGATTGTAAAGTGTTCTTATTATCATAAAGAGAATGATTACTGCTCTTTTATTTTGCTTAGATTGGAATCAGAGGAAAGGGACCTCTTGTGTGTGCCAAGGATATATTTGTTGGTGTTTGTTTCTCCAAGGACTATAAAAAAGAACATTTTAACAGGGAAGGTTTGGTGTAGTTCACAGGTAACTTTTGATTAGAAGCATCTTAGACACACTAGTGTTTGTGTTGGCCAGTGTTTTACATTCTGGGATTAGGTGGTCCACCATTTCTATGTTTCCTTTCCCTTGAGAGTAGGCAGGAACACTGCCTTGTGAAGTGACTGTCTCACTTGGATATTTAGCTCTAGGACATGGTGCAAAGAAAGAGGCCAGTGGGATGAGTAACTTAATTTAGACTCAAGGATTATCTGGCTTTCTCATGTTTCTACTCCCTCATCTTCCTTCCTATTAGTTCACATAATTACAGATGATCGCTGTTCTGGATAGTACTGGCTCAGTAAATACTTGCTGACAGTGTGAATCAGGGGAAGACTCTCCAGAGAAATGCTGTTCTGTTGCAGTCGTGGGTCTCTCAGGCTGTCCCCCTGAGTTTGGGGCTGTTGTATTTGCAGGGAGTGTGCCGTTCCCAGCAGGTGGTGGTCAGGCTGTGCTTTGTTTGGTTGAATCAGGCATGCAATATTCTTCTGGAGTCTGCCACTATGGAAATTCCTTAGTTTTGTTTACAGGCTTCACAGTAAACCCTGCTTGGACAATTAGGCTGCAAGGGGAAGAAGGGCCATGTCCTTACATTATTGCTATTTCTCATAGGCCAGGAACTTCTGGATTCTTAGGCAACAATTCTCATTGTAGACTATACTGGATCTATAAAGTTTACCTGGTACAGTTAATTTATATTTCTAGCAGGTTCATATTAATATCAGTTACCTTACAACCATAGGAAATAGTGTAATGACTTTTGCTACTGAAATTAAAGAAGTAAGTTAGTAATAAATAGCTGCTGTTTGTTGAGGCCAAGTTATGTCCCGAATTCTGGGTTAAGTAGTTAAGAAGAATCTCACATTGGAGACCGAGAAGGCTAAAATACTGCCTTCCAGGATCTCCCTGTTAAGTACCTAAACTAGAAGCATCCGGCTTGAGAGCCTCTACCCTTCACACCATGCTGTTCAATTTCTGTGCTGACCAAAGGAAGGGACACTTGAGGCACACAGGGTATTATTTAGCCCAAACGATAGATAATAGTGCTATAGTAGTTACTTGGTTAATTTTAACTGTAGATAGCAAAATACTTTGCATCAGTAATTATTGTTATTTTTTTATTGTGGTAAATGATAAGTAGCATAAAACATACTTTTTCCATTTTAAAAGTGCACTTTTTCATTTTTATTTTTTTTTAAAAATCTTTTACAAAGTATATAGCCAAAGTGAAATGAACATTTGAGGCAAGGAAGGGTGGGGTAGAGGAGAATATTGCTTGTCATTTTAAAACTTACACATCTTTTCTTCCAGTACTCAGGAGGCAGAGGTAGAGGCAGGCATATCTCTCTGAGTTCAAGGCCAGCTGGTTTATATAGCAAGTTCCAGGTCAATCAAGGCTATGTAGTGAGACTCTGTCTTAAACAAACAAAACAATACTTTTCCCCTTGCTGTTAAAAGTGGATATAAGTGGTATAAAAAAAGCTTTAGGAATTCCAAGAAATCATCTCAAATCCTATCTTCCTGAGAGAGAACTCTTAATATTTTTTATTTCTTGGCTTTTTTGTCTCATGTGTTTTATATGATTTGTATATGTTTACATTTATAGTTACTGACAAAGTTGGAAGCCTGCCTGTGCAGGACTTTGCCTGCCATGCTGTGGAATTTAATTCTGAGAACAGTAGAGGGCACTGTGAGTGTTTGAGCATCGAGTCGCTCATGGGTGTCTTTTCAGGGAAGAGACGAGAAGAGGTCAGAGTGAAAGCAGGAAGACAGCTGAAGATTGGGTCAGCAGTTCCAGGAAAGGCTAACTGAGGAGAATCTAATAATTGAGTACATGAGTGGAGGAGGACCACAGGCTCTCCAGGTCCTAGGGACTGGCTAGGAGGGAAACCCCAGGTGTTGACACTGCTGCCAGGCTTTTATTGCCCTTCACCGTGTGATAGTAAAGGAAGAGTAGGAGATTTGGGAGGGACTCACAATCTTCTATTTTACTTGTGAGAATTTGTGGTGACTATAGGAGATACCTAACAGTTGCTGTCTAGACAGTGTTCCCTAAAGGACATCTTGCTTGGTCTGCCTTCTTGGACCCATCTTGTCCTTTTTCTCAATAGATTTGTGTATCTTCTTTTTAAAAAAAAAAAAAAAAAAAGATTTTATTTATTTATTTATTTTATGCATATAAGCGCTCTATCTGAATGTATGCCTTTATTCACACCATAGATGGTGGCGAGCCACCATGCGATTGCTGGGAATCGAACTCAGGACCTCTGAAAGAACAGCCAGTGCTCTTAACCACTGAGCCATCTCTCCAGCCCCTTAAGCTTCCTTTGAGTCTGTTGAGTGTATGCTGGATGTGCAATGACAGAATGCTATTGGATTTGTTTTTGTTGTTTTGTTTTTGTTTTGCTAAGTGGCAGGCACCTTGGGCTTCCTTCATCATCAGTCCCAGCCCTTTTGTCAGGTTGACTCTACTCGGTCTTCATGCCTTCGCTTTACTCATTTACTCATTTTCCTAGAGAAACTGTCCTCACTACTTGAACCTTTTCACCAGATAAGATTATGCCCCAGTTGTTTTAGTTCAAAGCTCCCCATGCTTCTTTGTAGCACTTGTTAGAATTCTAGTTAATTATATATTGCTCTGTGTTCTTTGTTGACCATTCTTGAAAAGAAGGGACCTTGGTTATCCTGGTCACTGCTCAGAATATCTAGTATAAGCAGAGTATCTAGCACATAGTAGGTACTCATCAAATTCTTGGGAGGAGTTGGAAGGTTTTTTTTTAGTGGTGTGTGTGTGTGTGTTATTTTAGATAAAGTTCTACTGTGGATCCTAGGCAGGCCTGAAGTTCTTCTCTGTCTCCTGAATGTTAGGATTTCAGACATGTGCATGGTCAGCCATGAAATCGGTATCTCTGTCTCTTTTTCTGTTTACTCTCTTACGGTGCTGGACATCCGGCTGGAGGATTTACCCACACTAGGCAAGCACTCTACACTGTACTGCCAGCCAACTCCATACTGTTAAATGGATTGATACTTAAGTGCACATAGCACTCACAGTATTGAGAATGGTCCTGGAGATCCTATGACTCGATATTTTCAGAGCCTGACTTCCTCTCATGTACCAGCTTATTAGATTCTCCTTAATCAGCCTTTCCTGGAGCTGTTGCCTGGTCTTCAGCTGCCTTCCTATTTTCATGCTTAACCTCTTCCAGTCTCTCTTCTGCAAGGGCACCCATGACTGGCTCACACAGTTCTCACAATACTGAGCAGTGGTCTGGGCACTTAGCATAGAGGCATTATTTGAATTAATTTGGAAGATAAATCTTTTAGATTTTTACCAGGCAGGGAAATATTTAAAAACACAATGACAATGCCTTAACTAACCCATGCAATAAATACATTATGCTTTCATATGAGTTATTAGTGTTAAGACAAATGGTAGCATTGTGAGCCTATATTGAAAGCCTGTATTCAATACAGGTAAACCTGTATTGAAACAAAAAATTTAGAACAGTATGGTCTCGGTCTCAGTAGAGGGATAAAAAGAATTATTTCCATTTGTAACGAGTGAATATGCTCTGGAAATGTCCCTCTTCCTCTGAGCATTCACTGTCCCTGTCTTACTTAGCCAGGCCTGGAGCTCCAGCTGGTGCTGATCACTATCACCTGAGGTCAGGTATAAAGAGCGGCTCACTTTTCCCACAATCACTAAGTCATTAAAGTTAACAGTGAAGATGTTAACAGTTCATTTAGACAGTGAAACAATAGCAGAATTCTTTTGTTTTTGCCTCTTTATTTTTCAAATTTATTATGAATAAGTTTAAAGACCACAAAAAAGACAAAAGAAAGGCAGGTGTCCTGCATTGTGAGCTGTAAGTATATGAAATATGACAGAAAGCCTTTTGTTTCCTCCCATAGGGAATTATGCTGGTCTATGACATCACCAATGAAAAATCCTTTGACAATATTAAAAACTGGATAAGAAACATTGAAGAGGTATGTCTGGAAGCGAGTAGCAGTGCTGGGCATGTGGTGGGCTGTCGCTTTCTCCTGGAGGTGGCTGCTGCTGAGGGGTAGAAAGGGCGGGACAGGCCCACCCTGCCCACTGAAGAAAGCTATCCCCAATGGTGGCAGGTCAACAGCTCTATAGAGATAGTAGACAGGAGAGTTTTCATTAAACTCAGGTCAGAGCTTAGACAACATCATCTGGGTCCGTGTTTTTCCCCTAAGGAAACAGGTGAGGAAGGAGTGACTTGCCAGTGTCCATGAAGCCTGGAAGACTATCTACAGCTAAGACATCTGGTTCCCAGCTCTTTCACTAGCATAAATAAATAGATTTCTGCAACTTTTTTTCCCTAACATTTTTTTCTCCATAGATAGTTGACATTTGGGTTAGTTCCAGGATAGTTGGTACTAAGTTTTCTTTGAAATCTCCGTGGTATTTCAGAAAGAAACTGACTAGGAAATAATTTAGCACATTTGAATGAACCCATATAATTGATCTTTTTATATAGTTAGAACCCAGGTTGCTTTCTCTACTGGGTGACTCAGTACTTAAGTTTCTTCTATTTTTGGCTGGAATACTTGTTGGAAGGTTTGGCTGTTGTATATGAGTTACGAGAATAAATGTGAGCCTTTGGGGGAAGATGTTTGTATAGGCTCTGTGAAGGCTCTGAGCTGAAGTAATTCTCCCTTCTACCTTTAAACGTCTTTCTGAATTAGGCTTGTGTTGAGTGAAAGATAGTCAAGCTGCCATGTTTCCCACAGGTTGGGGTGGTCTCGTTCAGGCTGTTTTTATATTGCACTGTTTCTCCCTGCAGCACGCCTCTTCAGATGTTGAAAGAATGATCCTGGGTAACAAATGTGATATGAATGACAAAAGACAAGTGTCAAAAGAAAGAGGGGAGAAGGTGAGTTTGAACCAGATGTGTAAAGGGTGGAGTCCACTGCCATTCAGCTTTTGTTTTCTTGGTACTGACTTGCGTTTTTAAAATACCTGCTTTAGTCTCTCAAGAACTGACTATCAAACAACAGTGAGATGTAGTCTGTACTTGGATAGTGGGCATTAGTATTCAGGTCCAACCCCGTTTATAGCATCCAGTCAGGACTCAGCCCTAGAGGATGCTGGGAGGGACAAACTGGCCTTTCTTAAGATCCAGCAACTCTTGTTCAGGCTCTTTCAGATTTGTGAGAAATGCTCAGTTTCTGAAAACCTATACTAGTGTAGGTGAAATTTCAGCCATAATCACTTTCCAGGTCATTGTTTTCCCTAGAGTATAGAGAGTTAGCTTCAGTTCATGAGGAGGTGACCTCTACAGGCACCTGACTGTCTACATCTGTAGAGTAAATGATTCTTTTTTGTCACGTTTGCTTATTGTATTTTCTCAGTTCTTGAGAGACTTTTCTGCAGTGATGGGCGCAAACCCGTTTGTCTTTCAGTGTGAGCACCAACGTGTCCTTGGAAACCTTCACTTGATTTGAGTAGTGTTACATGGGTTAGAACTCTGAAAAGAGTTCAGATTTGCCGTTCTATTTCACAGGGCAGTTCTTTCAGAAAGGAAGGTCAGGCTAGTTACACTTGGAAAGTTCTGCTCCTGGAGACAAGATAAAGGAGTAAATGAATCCCAGGTGGTGGTAAGACTGAGACTCCATCTCATAGTTTTTCTTGTGTGTTTGTTAGAGACTCACAAGTACAACAGAACAAATTTCTAACATGACATTTTAAACAGAAGCTGTGTCATTTTTAAACTATGTTAAATTATAGAATTTAAAGCACAGTATAAGAAAACAAACAAAAGTGAAAACCATGAGTTCTGGCATAGACTCTTGGGGGCTTTGACAAATGTATATTCTACTAAGGGCTTTGTATGTCCAAGCCACTTTCACTAAATTTGATTTCTGTTTGCCTTTCAGTTAGCAATTGACTACGGGATTAAATTTTTGGAGACAAGTGCAAAATCCAGCACAAATGTAGAAGAGGTAAGGAATGTATGGTGGTCTCGCTAGGTAGCAGCTCAACCCAGTCCAAGCGTCCTGAGTACTTTTATGCCTTGGGTTTTTACATAGACTCTGCCCCCTGGATTTCTTGCATATGGCCTCCACATGGGTTATGTTAAGATTGCTCAATTAAGATTCTCGGAAGAGAGGAGATACGAGTTCATATTAAGTTCAGTGCAGCTATTTGTTTGGGAGTTAGCAATTGCAGACTCAGTGTCCTCTGCTCATTTGTCGTCCTTCCCTGCTCGCCGTCAGCAGACAAGCACAATCACTTGAATTAAACTGCTGTCTCTTGAATGGACTCCCTTTGTGTATACATTTGAAGTAGATTAAGCATGACACTGTAATACTATGGCATTTATTAGATATAAGAAAGTAGTTTTCATAGATTAGTCTTAATACATTTCCATTAAGTTAGCCATTATAACAGAATTATCTGGGGGGCTGGCAAGATGGCTCAGAGGGCAAAGGAGCTTGCCAGGGCGTCCGAGTTTGAGCTTTAGGACCCATGTCTTCTGACTGCTGTGTTTGCATTGTGGTGAACATTATCTATACACACAAACACAACAAGCAATTAAAATGTAGTAAAAATAATTTTAAGAAGCTCATCTAAGGTCTTCAAAGAACAGATGAAAATTATAATTTTATGATCAGTTTTTAAAAATTAACAAAATATCACCAGTATTTCTACCCTTTGTGAAGAAAACCTGCTCTAGAAAACGGTAGATGATCTGTGTCTTTATCTGCCATGTAATAGAGTTAGTACCTGTGCTTAATGGTCCTCACAGTTCCAACTAGGCTGTAGCGTCTTAGATTCTTCTCTTCTAGACTTAAGTGGCCTTGGTGGTCAGTGGGTACCTGTCAGGACTTTTGCTTCTGTGAAACAATCAGCACTAATTTTCAGGTTGCCTACTGAGTATTGAGAAACAGGAACTTGACACTGATTTATTTTCATAAGCATAGATAAAAAGAAAAGCAAACTTCCTTCTTTTGTGAACAGATTCCTTCCACCAAAGTTGGGGAGCTCCTGTGGGGCACCCCTCAATCTTGACCCCAGAATTTCATACCTCTGTGGAAACAAAGTAAAAATGATGACAGATGTTTTTAAAGAAGCCAGTGAGTGAAGTGGGTCTCAGCTCCCTTTTAAATTGATTTCTACACGTGTGTGCACATGTGGTTTAAGTGAGTTCCGGGAACCAGCAGTTCAAAGTATTAAGGCATGGCCGATTCTGCATACTTAAGTATGTCCTCAGAAGAGGTCAGAAAGGAAAGATATAGGTTGTTGTGAGATGGACTCTTAGTGCTATAGTTTAACCCATACTTGTTCTTAGGGCACTTCCTAAACAGATTTTAACATCGTGTTGGATAGTTTTAGGTCAAGTTAAAGTCATCAGAGAGGAAGGGATCTTAATTGAGAAAATGCCTCTGTAAGATCAGTAGTTAGGGCATTTTCTTAATTCGTAGTGATTGATGGAGGAGGACTGAGCTCATTGTGGGTGGTACTACCCCTGGGTTGGTTGTTCTAGGTTCTATAAGAAAGCAGGCTGAGCAAGCCATGTGAAGCAAGCCAGTGAGCAGCACCTTCTATGGCTTCTTTATCAGCTCCAGGTTCTTGCTGTGCTTAAATTTCTGTCCTGATTTCCTTTGATGATGAACTGTGATGTGGAAGCATGATCTGAATAACCCTTTCCTCCCCAAGTTGCTTTGGTCATAGTGTTCGATCACAGCAATAGTAACCCTAAGGCAAGCATCATCTGGGCCAGAGATTGAAGCCTTTCCCTAGGGGAGCAGGGTGGTTTAAACAGAGCCTCTCCCCTGTTCTTAGTGTATTGAGAAAACTACTTCTAACTGTGTGTGCCACATTAGGAACTTGTGGCAAACATTACATGCATAAAATATTTGATGAAGGAATAACAATGTGACAACACTGGAAAATGCGATATAACTGAAAAAGCCAATAACGTATATGCTAAAATTTTAATTATACTATTTTTTCAATTAGAAACTCTGCAGTGATATATTCACAAATAAATATTAAAAATTCTATATTTCTGTTTTGAAATACAATTATTTAACAATAATGTTGTTTGTTTATTTTACCTTTAGGCATTTTTTACACTTGCACGGGATATAATGACAAAACTCAACAGAAAAATGGTTTGTATCACTTATAGTTTTTTTTTATGATACAGCCTTTCAGCTTGGTACTCAACAGAATGGACAGCATGATTATAATATGCTCACATTAAACTTACTTGTTCCCGATGCTTTCTTATGATTGTACCATGGTTCTATTTTCTATTGCTTTGGGTTGTTTCTGCACCACAGCTGTCTCTTTTCTCTGGCTCCTTAAGTGGTAGTTAATTGAATTTTTATCAGAATAGTGAAAATAATAATGGTAGAAATTTCTTTTTTCATAAAATTGTCTAGTTCAATTTTCATATAATACATACTTATATCTATGTAATGATGATGATCTTGGAGTTGCTCAAGTTTGCTTCAATTTGAACTGTCAGAGAATCTTTAGGTCGTCCTAAAGTTCATTTTACCGTGGGTCCTCATGAAAAGTATCTCCCTTCTATTACCAACTCCTCTTGCTACTGCCTTAGCCCTGTTTCCATCATTATTCCTGACACCTAACAGGCCTTGGCTGAAATCGCTTTAAACTAGATAGAGGGTCGTCCTCCCTAACACATGGTTAAAACCAAAGTGCTAACTAGCCTAAGAATATTTGTCTCTTCTTAGTCCACCACTTGCAAAAAAGAAGGCAATGCTGAGACTTAACTAATTCCTTCTCTGGTAGAACTTGGCAGTGAGCACGGGAGAGCGTGTACTGGAGTGTATTCCTCACATGGTGTGCTTATACTTTATAGGAAATTGAGGTCAAAGCTAAAATTTCTGTTTCCTTAGCAGCTTCATGTCCTGTTTTTCAGAATGACAGCAATTCATCAGGAGCAGGCGGGCCAGTGAAAATAACAGAAAACCGGTCTAAGAAGACAAGTTTCTTCCGTTGTTCATTGCTTTGATGAACTCTTCATTTCTGAGAGACTGCAGTATACCTAGAGGGCCCTTCCCTGCTTCTCTGAAAGCACAGGTTACCCAGCCTCAGAGTCACCTCGCCCGACTGCTGCGGAGAGCACCATGGAACTCTAGACCTCTCAACACAGAACACCAAGTGGATTCCAGCCTCATGGCCTAGCAAAAGAGCAGGCTCCTTTCTTCAAACATGGAAGCAATTACGTGGAGACACTTGCAGGACCTAACTGGTTTTTCCTTGTTTTACTGCCTGTCTGGAAGCTGCCATCTTTCTTTGCACATGAGTGTCGGTCTTTCTGTGGTACAGCATAATCTTAGACTCCTAACTGAGCACTTTAGTGGCATGAAGTTCTAGACTTACATATTTGGGAATATTTAAAGACAGCAGAACATTAAACAGAGCAACCTCTAAAATTAAAGGATGGTTGGTCTGGGTCATATGGCCAAAAGTTCTTTTATTGGTAGCATTTATTAAAGGACTTTGATTTACAGTGTTCTTACAAATCATTAAATTCTGATTAACTTTTAAAATTCATAAAATACCCATCTATTCACAGAGGCCACATCATTTTCATCTTTTCAGGTGGTTATCAATTTTGCTCATTCCGGAGTAGCTGTTCTTTTTAAGTTGGCTGCCACTGGCTCCTCTGAAACAGCATGTAGAAAGCACTGTAGTCTCACTGTTTCTGAGGGTCGTATTTGCTGTCCCTTTTCTTGCCTGACGTCTTGTCATTATTTACTAATCTAAAACCAACAATCTATGTAAGAACTCTTGTGTCTGTCTGTGAACTTCATGCATTGGGATTTCACATGGGGAGAGAAATGGTCATTAGGGCTTTGTTATCACACCAGAATATGTAAATATTCTTTCTTAGTTTTACCCATTAGCTTGTCTTACCCATTTTTTAACCATAGTCCCCGTCTGTGAGAGAGTTAACAAAGGTTAGATTTAGATTTCAGTTTGCGTAAAACATACTTATATGGAGAGAAATTAGACATGATGGTGTAAGATATAGCTCTTAGTAATGTTGAAAATAATGATTTTTGGTTCTATTTGGTGTTTAAAAAAAATATAAAAGTAATTAGACCTAACACATCCTCCAGAAATCTTGTCTTTTCATTAGAGCACATATGATCCAGGTTTCAGCTTTCAAACAGCCATTGCTGAATGTATAGAACCCAGCCCTTTGCATTTAGGTTTGTAGTTAGAGATGTGGTGTCGCTATCTAGGCCAGAGCCAACCGAAAGCTTTGCTGCCTTCTCATCAAATGCTGGTTCTGATGTTTCTTTTGTAGATAAAACACACTAGAGGGGGCAGGAGGTGTTTAGTGTTAAATTACGTGCCAAATACAGATCATAATGTCACTGCTGTTGTTGTAGCCTTCGGTGTCCTAACGCAGAGGGCCTAGAAACAGGTGACAAGGGAAAGGAGCTGGTAGCAGTCACTCCCCCTGCTCTTGTGCCGTCCTTTAAGACCTGGAAGTGGAGATGGACATGGATATTTGGTTACATGGGGAATTCTGCTTCAGTACTTGGGCCAGTCAGGCCTTCCCTTCTGTGGGAATACTCAAAAGCATTCCAGTGGCTGCAAGCATACCAGAGTTATTTTTGGTGGATACACTGACTTTACTGTGGACAAACTTTAGCCTTTTCTTCTTTTTCCCTAGTTACCTATCAGCTTAAAGTCACACATTACTGTCCAGATGTAAGTAGTTCTCTCAGTGAGAATTGATTGTAAGTCTAACATCTTCAAATTAAATATATTCAAATTAAAGATGATATTTTTTTTTTAGAAATGTCTTATCACTACTTTTCTGGGGAAAAAAGTTCAAGCAGTTACAATGATAGCAAAGTACTTTGCAAACAGCAGGAGCTGTGACACCATATACGAATGTAATTCTCTTAGTATTTACCTCTGACTGTTTGGTGTCTTAACACTTTGGTTTCTATCTCAGGGGTTGTCTGCAAACCAAAACTGACATGTTCTTTGGTCAGCTTTTTTTTTTTTAAACAAACAAACCAGAATGCTTTGCTTTTGAATCTTCACTCTTGTTGTGTCTTTGTGGGTTAATAACTAGTCTCCATGAACTCTTCTCTTTGAATGAGCCTGTAAATGTTAGGTGAGTCTAAAAGTGCTCTTTGAAGTAGCAGCAAACTGGGAGTATATTCTCTGTTATATAGAAATAAATTGTCCTTGCTATTTTCTTACATTTAGCTCTGCTAAATTGTATATAATTTGAACTCAGACCATAGGAAATTCACTTTCTGCATGGTAAAAACAACCCAACAACTTTGCTTACTGATGTACATATGGTGCATTATTTTTTCTATTTGTAGATGAATTTAGTGACAGATAATTGTCTGTTCCCTGCTGAAACTCAAGAAATCTAGGTTTCTCTTTTGTGTGTGTGCACGCGCGTGTGTACACATTGTTGTGATCTTACAGATAGGGTACATAGAGATTTTGCAGCAGTATTAGTGGGTCAGTGGCTGCACTTTATTAATATTATGCTAATTTTTTGACAATAGTTGGACTCAGAAGTTTCAAAAAGAGTCTGAGGGTACCAGTCAGTGAAGAGTGCTGTAACTAAGTAGCATGTAAATCAGTTGGTTGCACAATGTTTCACTGGGAACCTATTCTAGCCTCTTTCTTCAGATGATGCTGAATTGTTCTCCCTGCATACTGGTCAGGGAAACTGCAGGGCTTCTTACTGCACGTGGACATTTTATGCAGTTTTTGTTATAATTTCCTGAAGACTCTTTACTTTGAAGGACTTTTTTTTATTATACCTCATTTAGCTAACTAATATTCTAATACCTGGAAGAAAAACAGTGAGCCAGCCTCTAAGCATTCAACAAAATTTAGACAGCATGTTTTATCTTGTTTTGAACTGAAGACATCCTTGGAAAAGAGAAATTGACACCTTAGTTTCAAAGAAAGCATGCATGTCAATATCCAGTAGCATACAAAAAATGTTACTGCCCTGTCCGTCAGTGAATTTAGTTGTGCAATATACAATGGATTATTCCAAGTTAGAAATGATCACTGCAATTTAAAGGCTCCAAATTCTGAGAATCTTTGTTAGGGCTTAGGAAGTATCGTCCTCTGAGCAGTACAACAACAAATTAGCAGACTTTCTCTTCAAGCTTATGACTTAGATGCTTTTAAAAATATATCTTAATCTTTAAAGATGAGATTCTAAGCCTAGAACTTTAAAACCGCATTTCATTATGTTGGTTTACTGATCTCAAAATTTCTTCAATTCAGTTTTTTAGACTTCAAAAAACATAAACAAAACAAAGAACCTTCATTTATGTTTCTCATTACACCCAGTGGCAGAGAAGACTGTCTGAAAATGAAATCCCTTGATTCAGAAGGACATAGCAGGTCAGGAGATACTAATAAAATTTATGAGTGCCATGTTCATTAGAAAGAAACTAAATGACTGAGTATAGAAAAGAAAATCAGCAAGCATTTGTTTTAAGGATTTCCATATTTTAACTTTGTGTCTTGAGATGTGTGCCATATGCCAGGAACTAACAGAACTTTATATTTCATCTTTGTACCTTTTTAAAAAGTGAACTTCTGATTGTTCATTCCAATGGCCTTACAGATGGGTTTGTCTTGACTGTCTGCAGCTGATGCTACCGTTCCCTTAATGCAAAACGCTGGGAACTGTCTGATGAAAATCATGCCCCCGTGGGAACTATGGAGGTTTTTCATAGACTTGTGTGCTTAAACATATTTTCCTTTGCTCCAGTGGCTTACTGTGGAAAGCTCCTGTGGATAATACAGACCTGCCTTGTGGCTGGTCTGCTGAAGCCAGGTCATTAACTATACTGATACTAAAGCTGTGTTTTTAAAAAAATGGATTTTTATTCCCGGTGGACTTTTTTTTTTTTTACAATAATGTTCATCTAAAATAAAAACTACATAATGAAAATGTTCATGATTCTTAAGTGGATTGTACATTTTAGAATATATATAGATTTTAAACTGTATTTTAATTGATCTATGTTCATTTTACATGGTACTGAGTTTCATGAGGACATTTAAATGCAAGTATATAAATAAGGTAGGTTGAGTATATTACCTCCTTGTACCGACTGTTTCACCTTCCCATCTTTTCCTTCCCTCTCCTATTAGCCACCTTTACACACACACACACACACACAAACACACACACGGTTTTATGTATCTATAAAATCTAGGACCCATAAATGAAGGAAACATCCGATATTTATCTAAGATTGCTTTAAATCTGTTAATATGAATAGCTCTAGTTATATTAATTTTTTTGCAAATGGCATTGCTCTCTGTGGCTAAAAAAGTTCCCTTGTGTATATATGCCACATTTTCTTTATCCATTCCTCTATAGTTTGACACCTAGGTTGGTTTAATGACTCAGCTACTACAAAGAGTGCTACAATAAACATCGATGTGCAAGAGCCTCTGTGACGTATTGACGTAGAGTTCTTCAGATAGCTGGGTCATTTGGAAGATCTACTTTCAACTTTGAGGAAGCTTCACGCCAACTTCCATAGTTGACATTGCCACCAACAGTGTATAAGAGTTCCTTTTGTCCACACCCTTCATTCCTGCCAGTATTTCTTTTCTTCCTTTTTTTTTTCTTTGATGGTCTCACTGTGTAGCCCTGATTGGCCTTGTATAGTACTTGAGACTCACAGAAGTCCCCTTGCCTTCTACCTCAGCAGTGCTGGAACTAAAGGTGTGAGACCTGGTTTTGTTTTATTAATTAAGTCTTGCTGTTCAGACTGGGCTAAGATGATCTCTCTCTGTAGTTTATTTTCCCCCTCCCAAAGAGATTTATTAAGGGCATGAACGGTTACTGAGAGCCCCTGGTATCTAGGGGTAAGGTCTAGTATGTGCCTAGGCAAACGAAGGAATTCCGCAACCGGGGACTACTTGAAGTATGGCTTTCAGTTCCACCATGCCCATTTGGGCTGAATGTACTTGACGAATAGGAATAGTTGCAGCAGGGCTTGCCTTCATGCTCAGCAAGGCCCCACAGGCAGCGTCTTTCCACATTTCTCACACTTCAGGCAGGGCTGTGCCTGTCCTTGTCTAGTGAGGTCATTCTCAGTGAAGTACACTCTGTAGTGGTCAGGGCTCTCTACAGTAGCAGAACTTAGAGAATGAATCTCTCTTGCTCTCTCTAAATATAATTATTAAAATACCAATATATTAATATATACTACATTAATTTATATTCAAGGGGATTTATTGGGATGACTTACGGACTGCAGTTCAGCTAATCCAACAATGGCTGACTGAATGAAAAGTCCAAGGATCCAGTAGTTGCTCAGTCCACAAAGCATGATCTCTCCGATGGTCTAAAGTAGACGCTGGGATCCCAAAGAAGAGGAGCCTCCAATGCCAGTGAAGGGGTGACTGCTAGCAAGATGATGGCAAGTGGGCAAAGAGCAAAAGCTTCCTCCTCCTCTGTCTTTACAAAGGTTTCCAGCAGAAGGAGTGGCCTACATTAAAGTTGTGTCTTCAGCCTCAAGATTCAGATCAAAGATGTGTGTCTTCGTACTTCAAAGGTCCGTACTAGAACTGGGTTCGCCCAAGCAAAAAGAATCTCTCACAGATTCTGCATCATAGTTCATTCCAGATGTGATCAAGTTGACAACCAAGAATAGTGATCACACCCTCCTGTTGCACTTGGGTCCTCTACACAGAGAAATTTCTCTGATAAGCAACTATAGAAACGATCCCTGAAAGTAGTCTTCTCAGTGTAGTTTGCATTTGCATTTCTTTGATATCTAGTGAGATTGAACACTTTATCAAATGTTTGTGGGCCATTTGTACCTCATCTTTTTTTTTAATTTATTTCTTTATTAAAGATTTCTGTCTCTTCCCCACCGCCGCCTCCCCTTTCCCTCCCCCTCCCCCAATCAAGTCCCCCTCCCTCGTCAGCCCAAAGAGCAATCAGGGTTCCCTGCCCTGTGGGAAGTCCAAGGACCACCCACCTCCATCCAGGTCTAGTAAGGTGAGCATCCAAACTGCCTAGGCTCCCACAAAACCAATAGGTGCAGTAGGATCAAAAACCCATTGCCATTGTTCTTGAGGTCTCAGTAGTCCTCATTGTCCACTATGTTCAGCGAGACCGGTTTTAACCCAGGCTTTTTCAGACCCAGGCCAGCTGGCCTTGGTGAGTTCCCAATAGGACATCCCCATTGTCTCAGTGTGTGGGTGCTCCCCTCGCGGTCCTGAGTTCCTTGCTCGTGCTCTCTCTCCTGGTGCTCCTGATTTGGACCTTGAGATTTCAGTCTGGTGCTCCAATGTGGGTCTCTGTCTCTGTCTCCTTTCATCGCCTGATGAAGGTTAATATTCAGGAGGATGCCTATATGTTTTTCTTTGGGTTCTCCTTCTTATTTAGCTTCTCTAAGAACCCAAATTATAGGCTCAATGTCCTTTATTTATGGCTAGAAACCAAATATGAGTGAGTACATCCCATGTTCCTCTTTTTGGGTCTGGCTTACCTCACTCAGGATAGTGTTTTCTATTTCCATCCATTTGCCTGCAAACTTCAAGAAGTCCTTGTTTTTTACTGCTGAGTAGTACTCTAATATGTATATATTCCATACTTTCTTCATCCATTCTTCATTTGAAGGGCATTTAGGTTGTTTCCAGGTTCTGGCTATTACAAACAATGCTGCTATGAACATAGTAGAGCATATACTTTTGTTGTGTGATAAGGCCTCTCTTGGGTATATTCCCAAGAGTGGTATTGCTGGGTCCATGGGTAGGTTGATCCCGACCTCCACACTGCTTTCCAGAGTGGTTGTACAAGTTTGCATTCCCACCAGCAATGGATGAATGTACCCCTTTCTCCACAACCTCTGTACCTCATCTTTTGTAAAGATTTGTTTAGCCCATTTATTGACTGGGTGGCTATGAGTCCTATTTAGCTTTTTGTATTCAAAATTTTATCTTTGTATATTTTAGATATTCTATGTAGCTCAGTGTTCTCACGTTCCAGGTCCCCATTGTGGTGACTCTTTGGCATGAGGAAGTGCCTTTCCGGTCCATTCTATCAGCTCCCCTTCCTCATTTCATCTGTCCTGCACTTAGGACCTGGAGGTACTGGGGCACTGTCAGATTCTGGGACTTTAACCCGGTGTTTCTGTTGAACTTGTCCATATTCATTTTCATGGTCTGAGCTGATGAGGGTGACTGACCAGGTCTCTTCATGTGGTAGCCTTTAGCCGACCAGCTGGATCTCTTTTCACCCACACCAAATTCCCCAGGTTTCCAGAGAACCTAGCTGGTCATTTCCAGTCTTGCCGTCGAGGAGGCAACTACTGTCTAGTTTAGTGTTTTCATGTTCCAGGTTCCTACTGTGGTGACTTTTTGGCATGAGGAAGTGTCTTTCCTGTCCATTTCTATCAGCCCCCCCCTCTTCGGGCTTTAAGAGAGACGCATCAAGATCTGTGCAATGATGACATTAAGAAACATCTCCATCTACAGAAGGAAGTAAACTACAGGATATGACAATAGCGCTTGAGCTACTTCGGCCATGTTGTAAGAATGAATGATGGCAGATACCAGAAGATAGCACTGTTTGGAGGAGTGCACAGGATAAGACAGAGGAAAGCTTCCAAAACGCTGGATAGATAGCATAAAGGAAGACCGGAACCCTGGGTGTGACGGTAACACAAGCATCTAGGACTGTTCAGAAGAGGAACAACTGGAGAACCGCCATAAACGGGCTGCCCATGCATGCTTAAGCATCATTTAGCCGGGGCGAAGATGGTGATGATGATATTCTGGATATTGTCGTCCATAAATATGGTTAACAGAGAATTTTTCCTTTCTGTAACCTTTTATCTTCCTCCATTAATTGTTTCCATTAATGGGGTTGTACATTTTAAAAATGTTTCTTCAGGTTTTCTAAGTATGTGATTTAAACTGTGGTGGATTTGTGAAATTTTAGCAAACTTCTTATCTCAGCCTGATGTGTTTAAAGACAAAATGGCCAGACCCTCTGCTTGTTCTTAGTTCAGACTACAGCAAGGTTTTCCTGTTGTAGCATCTACAGCCTGACATTGCTTACCCTGCCTTCCTCAGACCTTCAGACTTGGTTCCTTTTGTTTCGTTCTCACTGATAAATAACACTCAGATGGCGTCAGGCCTGCGGCTCTCCCGCGGTTGTACTTGTTCCTGTTTCCCGTGTCTGTCTCAAAATCATTTCATGGCTTGATCAACCTGTTTGCTCTAAGGCCTCCCAGGGAAAAGTAGCAGCAGTCTTGCGGCATTTAGCTCCTTCTCTATGATGTATAGCTTCCTCCATCCCCATTCTGTCCTCTTGGTGACAGAAGCATTTTTTTTTACCCAGGCTCTTCGCTTGCTTCCAGGGTCATCTTCCTACCCTGTCTTACTTTTCAGGGAGCTCAGAGCTCATGCCTTCAAACCCATCCTGCTCCATCTCTTTCCCTTCACATCTAGGTCTCCTTACTCTTTTGCCACTGTCTTGTGACTTTCACATTACTCCTTTTTTAGTCTTCCTACTGGAATCAAGCTTTTAAAAAAGACTTTCCAGTAGTCATTGTGGTGGTGGACATCTGTGCAGGCCAACAGTCAGAGGGAAAAGGCAGGTCTACGTAGTAAGGCCTGTCACAGGAAGACATATAACACGTGAAACTTGTCTATAGTCTTTTCAAAGTTGTTTCATTTTTATACATGTATTTGTGTGTGTGTGTGTGTGTGTGTGTGTGTGTGTGTGTGTAGATCAACAGACAACTTGTGGGAATCAGTCTTTCCTCCTGCCATGTGGGTTCCAGGATCTAACTCAGATTGTCAGGCTTGGTGGCAAGTGCTCTTCCCAACCCCATAGTTACTACCCTCATTTGTTTATTTTCCCTTTATTCCTTACCCAGTCTAGATCCTGCCCCAGCAGTTCATCGATACCGTGTTTGCAACA